TTGATTTGGCTCTCTTTAAGTCTGTTATTGGTGTAGACGAATGCTTGTGATTTTTGCACATTGATTTTATATCCTGAGACTTTGCTGAAGCTGCTAATCAGTTTCAGGAGTTTTTGGGCTGAGGCGATGGGGTCTTCTAGGTATACTATCATGTCATCTGCAAATAGAGACAATTTGGCTTCCACCTTTCCTATCTGAATGCCCTTTATTTCTTTTTCTTGCCTGATTGCTCTGGCTAGAACTTCCAGTACTATATTGAATAGGAGTGGTGAAAGAGGGCATCCTTGTCTAGTGCCAGATTTCAAAGGGAACGCTTCCAGTTTTTGCCCATTCAGTATGATATTGGCTGTGGTTTGTCATAAATAGCTTTTATTACTTTGAGATACATTCCATCGATACCGAGTTTCTTGAGGGTTTTTAGCATAAAGGGCTGTTGAATTTTGTCAAATGCCTTCTCTGCGTCAATTGAGATAATCATGTGGTTTTTGTTTTTGGTTCTGTTTATGTGGTGAATTACGTTTATAGACTTGCGTATGTTGAACCAGCCTTGCATCCCTGGGATGAATCCTACTTGATCATGATGAATAATTTTTTTGATTTGCTGTTGCAATCGGCTTGCCAATATTTTATTGAAGATTTTTGCATCTATGTTCATCATGGATATTGGCCTGAAGTTTTCTTTTCTTGTTGGGTCTCTGCCGGGTTTTGGTATCAGAATGATGTTGGTCTCGTAAAATGATTTGGGAAGGCTTCCCTCTTTTTGGATTGTTTGAAATAGTTTTAGAAGGAATGGTACCAGCTCCTCTTTGTGTGTCTGGTAGAATTCGGCTGTGAATCCGTCTGGACCTGGGCTTTTATTGAGTGGTAGGCTCTTAATTGCTGCCTCGACTTTGGACCTTGTTATTGGTCTATTCATAGTTTCAGCTTCCTCCTGATTTAGGCTTGGGAGGACACAGGAGTCCAGGAATTTATTCATTTCTTCCAGGTTTACTAGTTTATGTGCATAGAGTTGTTTATAATATTCTCTGATGATGGTTTGAATTTCTGTGGAATCTGTGGTGATTTCCCCTTTATCATTTTTTATTGCATCTATTTGGTTGTTCTCTCTTTTATTTTTAATCAATCTGGCTAGTGGTCTGTCTATTTTGTTGATCTTTTCAAAAAACCAGCTCTTGGATTTATTGATTTTTTGAAGGGTTTTTCGTGTCTCAATCTCCTTCAGTTCAGCTCTGATCTTAGTTATTTCTTGTCTTCTGCTGGGTTTTGAGTTTTTTTGATCTTGCTCCTCTAGCTCTTTCAATTTTGATGATAGGGTGTCAATTTTGGATCTCTCCATTCTCCTCATATGGGCACTTATTGCTATATACTTTCCTCTAGAGACTGCTTTAAATGTGTCCCAGAGGTTCTGGCATGTTGTGTCTTCGTTCTCATTGGTTTCGAAGAACTTCTTTATTTCTGTCTTCATTTCATTGTTTACCCAGTCAACATTCAAGAGCCAGTTGTTCAGTTTCCATGAAGCTGTGCGGTTCTGGGTTGGTTTCTGTATTCTGAGTTCTAACTTGATTGCACTATGGTCTGAGAGGCTGTTTGTTATGATTTCAGTTGTTTTGCATTTGTTGAGCAGTGCTTTACTTCCAATTATGTGGTCAATTTTCGAGTAGGTGTGATGTGGTGCTGAGAAGAATGTGTATTCTGTGGATTTGGGGTGGAGAGTTCTGTAAATGTCTATCAGGTTTGCTTGCTCCAGGTCTGAGTTCAAGCCCTGGATATCCTTGTTGATTTTCTGTCTGGTTGATCTGTCTAATATTGACAGTGGAGTGTTAAAGTCTCCCACTATTATTGTGTGGGAGTCTAAGTCTCTTTGTAAGTCCTTAAGAACTTGCCTTATGTATCTGGGTGCTCCTGCATTGGGTCCATATATGTTCAGGATCGTTAGCTCTTCTTGTTGTATCGATCCTTTTACCATTATGTAATGGCCTTCTTTGTCTCTTTTGATCTTTGTTGCTTTAAAGTCTATTTTATCAGAGATGAGAATTGCAACTCCTGCTTTTTTTTGCTCTCCATTTGCTTGGTAAATCTTCCTCCATCCCTTTATTTTGAGCCTTTGTGTATCCTTGCATGTGAGATGGGTTTCCTGGATACAGCACACTGATGGGTTGATTTGATTTTTATCCAATTTGCCAGTCTGTGTCTTTTGATTGGTGCATTTAGTCCATTTATATTTAGGGTTAATATTGTTATGTGTGAATTTGATACTGCCATTTTGATGCGAAGAGGCTGTTTTGCCTGTTAGTTGTTGTAGATTCTTCATTATGTTGATGCTCTTTAGCATTTAGTGTGATTTTGGAATGGCTGGTACTGGTTGTTTTTTTCTATGTGTAGTGCCTCTTTTAGGAGCTCTTGTAAAGCAGGCCTGGTGGTGACAAAATCTCTGAGTACTTGCTTGTTCGCAAAGGGTTTTATTTTTCCTTCACTTCTGAAGCTCAGTTTGGCTGGATATGAAATTCTGGGTTGAAAGTTCTTTTCTTTAAGAATGTTGAATATTGGCCCCCACTCTCTTCTGGCTTGTAGTGTTTCTGCCGAGAGATCTGCTGTGAGTCTGATGGGCTTCCCTTTGTGGGTGACCCGACCTTTCTCTCTGGCTGCCTTTAGTATTTTCTCCTTTATTTCAACCTTGTTGAATCTGACGATTATGTGCCTTGTGGTTGCTCTTCTTGCGGAATATCTTTGTGGTGTTCTCTGTATTTCCTGTATTTGAGCATTGGCCTGTCTTGCTAGGTGGGGGAAATTTTCCTTTCTATTCAATAAAGAGTGCTGGGATAAGTGGCTAGCCATATGTAGAAGACTGAAACCGGACCCCTTCCTCACACCATTTACAAAAATTAACTCAAGATGGAATAAAGACTTAAATGTAAAACTCAAAACTATAAAAATCCTGGAATACAATGTAGGCAATACCATTCTGAACATAGAGATAGACAAAGATTTTATGATGAAGGTACCAAAATCAAAAATTGACAAATGGGACCTAAGTAAACTAAAAAGCTCTGTACAGCAAAAAGAAACTATCAACAGAATAAACAGACAACCAACAGAATGAGAGAAATCTTTTTGCCAACCACAGCTGGCAAAAGTCTAATATTCAGCATTTATAAGCAACATAAACCAATTTATAAGAAAAAACAAACATTATAAAGTGAAAAGTCATAGACACTTTTTTTTACAATAAAATATTATAATATTTTATCATGAAGAAATGAATATTCCTAGAAAGTGTTCAACTTTTTTAAAATTGCATTTTAGGTTTTGGGGTACATGTGAAGAACATGCAAGATAGTTGCATAGGTACACACGTGGCAGTATGATTTGCTGCCTTCCTCCCCTTCACCTATATCTGGCATTTCTCCCCCTGCTATCTCTCCCCAACTCCCCATTCCATGCTGTCCCTCCCGTGTTCCCTCCAACAGACCCCAGTGTGTAGTGCTCCCCTCCCTGTGTCCATGTGTTCTCATTGTTCAACACCTGCCTATGAGTGAGAACATGCGGTATTTCATTTTCTGTTCTTTTGTCAGTTTGCTGAGAATGATGGTCTCCAGGTTCATCCATGTCCCTACAAAGGTCACGAACTCATCATTTTTGATGGCTGCATAATATTCCACAGTGTATATATGCCACATTTTCCCTGAACAGACACTTTTCAAAAGAAGACATACATGTGGCCAAGAAGCATATGAGAAAAAGCCCAATGTCACTGATCATTAGAGAAGTGCAAATCAAAACCACAATGAGATGCTGTCTCTCACCAGTCAGAATGGCTATTACCAAAAAGTAAAAAAATAACAGATGCTGCAATATTTTGGAGTAAAAGGAATACCTATGTCCTGTTGGTGGGAGGATAAATTAGTTCCACCATTGATGAAAACTGTGTGACAATTTCTCAAAGACCTAAAAGGAGAACTACCATTCAACTTAGGAATCACATTACTGGGTATATACCCAAAGGAATATAAATCATTCAGTCATAAAGACACATGCACGTGTATTTTCACTACAGCACTATTCACAATAGCAGAGATGGAATCAATCTAAATGCCTATCGGTGGTAGACTGAATAAAGAATATTTGGTATGTATACATCATGGAATGGTATGCAGTTAGGAAAAAGAATAATATTATGTCCTTTGCAAAAACCTAGGTGGAGCTGAAGGTCTTTATCCTTAGCAAACTAACACAGAAACAGAAAACCAAACACCACATGTTCTCAATTATAAGTGGAAGCTAAATGATGTGAACAGATATAGGGGAAAAACACACCCTGGGCCCTACTGGAGGGTGGAGATTGGAAAGAGAAAGAGGATCAGGAAAAATAGCTACTGGCTACTAGGCTCAATACCTGTTGGAAATTAATGTTGAGCTCTAAAACTGTTTTCCACGGTGTTGAGATATAACTTCCCCATGTCATACTATGTGTTGTTTCCCATGTTTTCATAAGATGACGGATTGGGGGTGTTGCAAGCATTGGGAAAAGAAAACTGAGGTGGCTTAATGTTGCTGTGTTTCAGCAGTTGAATGTTTTTATTATTTATCTGTGTTTTTCTTTGTATGATTATTTGGTTAGTATTTAATATCATGTAGTGCTCTGTCTTCTCCCAAAAAGACGTGTATTTAACTTAGGAAAGAAATGTAAAGTTTGGTAAATACAATGGGTCATGAAGGTGCAGTGAGACTGACTCCATCCTACATTCAGGGATAGGCCATCCCTCTTTAAAAGAGACACTATCTTTACACCATAGTACCACACAGGGGTAGAGCTTCCCTGAACCAGCTGGGGATTGTTACCTAGACCCAATGTTGTTTATTGTTAAATCTTGTGGCTTGAAACATCTACTAATTGAATTGGATATCTTAGTCTAGGTTACTATTTTTGACATATATAAGTGAATAAAATGCAGGATATATATTTTAATTTTTAAAAATTTACCACTTTATTTCAAGTTATTCTACCAAAAGTGAGGTTATGGCACATAAAATCTTGTATTATGTGGTGGTTTTCTTTTTTCAGATGGAATTTGTCTATGTCACCCATGCTGAAGTACAGTGGTGCGATCTTGGCTCACTGCAACCTCCGCCTCCTGGCTTCAAGCAATTCTCTTGCTTCAGCCTTCCTGAGTAGCTGGGACAGCAGGTGTGTGCCACACACCCAGTGAATTTTTTGTATTTTTAGTAGAGACAGAGTTTTACTGTGTAAGCCAAGATGATCTCGATCTTCTGACCTCATCATCCACTCACCTCAGCCTCCCAAAGTGCTGGTGTTACAGGATTGAGCCACCTCACTGGCTCAGTTTTCTTTTACATAAGCCTTTTCATTTGCTGAAACCATAGATTCTAAGTTGCTCTATCCAAGTGATAATTAGAAGAATGTGATGGGGCCGGGTTCGGTGGCTCATGCCTGTAATCCCAGCACTTTGGGAGACCGAGGCAGGTGGATCACGAGGTCAAGAGATCAAGACCATCCTGGTCAACATGGTGAAACCCCGTCTCTTCTAAAAATACAAAAAAAAAAAAAAAAATAGCTAACCATGGTGGCGCATGCCTGTAATCCCAGCTACTCAGGAGGATGAGGCAGGAGAATTGCCTGAACCCGGGAGGCGGAGGTTGCGGTGAGCTGAGATCGTGTCGTAGCACTCCAGCCTGGGTAACAAGAGCGAAACTCCGTCTTAAAAAAAAAAAAAAGAAAAGAAAAATGTGATGTACTTAGTGCATAAATTTTAGAAAATTTCCCTTACTACTATTGTTAGTTTGATTGAATGTGTGTGTAATTTTAAAAAAATGTAAACTGAATAAATATGTATTGAATCTACATATGTATTGAAAATGTAAGTTGACATCACAGAGTACCCTTAGTTCATGGCAATGCTTTCTCTGAAAGCAACTGCAGAAATTTACTCTCTCTTCTTTCTAGTTTGTAAGAACTTGGAGGCCACAGGGGAAAGGGAGTTCTTTGGATACCAGATAAGGCATGAAGCAGATGTGGTTACAGTAATTCTGGTATAATTCATTGTAAGGTGATGATCTCTAGGAACGTCATCACCGTGGAGAAACCTGAAAGCTCCCAGCAGCCAGCAACGAATGAAAGGTGTGGGCGGGACTGCCAACAGGGTGGGGCCTGGTGAGCCAGTGCCTGGGCTCCCGCTTCACAGTGCGCGTGGGGGCGCATCACGGGGGAGACTCTGATTGGTTCCTCTGGTTGGAACCTGGGCACGAGGTTGGAACTCTGGTGGTTGGTAGGGCAACCTCCTTCAGTTGATAGAAAACAGTGGAAGGAGGAGCTCCCTCTGCGCTGTCTTCTCCGCGATCTCAGCCCTCAGGCTTGTTGTATCTAGACCCATTTTAAATCAAGCAGGTTCGCTTCAGACCAGTCATCTCAGGGGAGGCAGCTGAGGTGGGGAGTGAGTTGTTAGTGGGGTGCAGCCCCATCACCAGGGGCTGGCCCTGCCAGGTGCCTGTGTTTGAAAGAGGTGAAGTGCTGAACTCTGCAGACTGGGAGGCAAGGGAAGGTCCAAGTTGCTGGAGAGGAGCCAAGGTGCCCCATGGGGAACACACTGAGTTGTTGTTTGTGCCCCAAAGTCAGCCGCAGGCGAGGTCTGCGTAGATGGTCTGAGGATCTGCCCTTCAGCTCTGACATCAATGAGGCGGTGGCAAGCAAAGGTGTGGGCCAAGATAGAAGGAACATGTCCAACACCAGCGCCAGACCCATTTGGGGCCCGAGCTGGCTGTGTGGGGTGGTGTCTGGCAGCTGCGATGACATCTATGAGGCAGTGTCAAGCGTAAGTGCAGACCAAGGCAGAGAAAAGCAGAGGCCGGCCAGAGGGATCTTGGTGCTCCCCAATGGCAGACGAAAGCAGAGCCAGTGCAGGGTGCACTGGGCAGAACCGATCTGCAGCAATAACATCAATGAGGGGGAGGTGGTGGAAGTGCCAGACCCTACTGCCGTGGAGCCTGCCCGGTGGGATTTGGGAGCCGGCAACGGCCATGACCTGCAGCACATCAGCGACCAGGTGATGCCCAAAGGTAAGGCAATGAATGATACTGTTTGCCCTTAGGCACGACTCTGGCTGACACTGATACCAGTTCTCACCCCCTCTCCCCACCCCAGAGGCATCCACAACCTCGGGCTCCTTTCTCCTGCCCCTAGCCAGCTTTCCCAGGCCCATGCACCAGGCGGGAGGACTGGCCCTGCCTCGTGCCTGCCGCCACCCTTTATTCTTTTTCCCTGCTGCATCTGGAGGTTTCTTTCCTCCTCCCTACCCCAGTGCCCAGTTCTGGCCCCTTTCTCAACCCCAGGCTGGCCGAACGCTAAGTTTTCCAGATAGAAAATGTACGCTACAGATTTCATTGCTGTAGAGGAGGTGTCTTACAGCTCTTCTGTTTACTTTGGTTGGCCTCTTAATTTATTTAAACGTTAGAATAATTAAGCTTCATGATGAATGTGACTTTGTAGCTGAAAGGTATTGTTCTCTCAGAATATTCAAAAATGGTGAAAGAATGAACAAAGTATGTGAATGAATTGTGCCTTTATACACAAAGCATGCCAGTACTTGTGAAAGCTTTTCCTTGTTCGGTGGTGTAAAGTAAGCCTCTGAGTGCTTTCACACACCAGGTAGCAGATGGGTAGTGTTGGATGACGGCCCAAAATAGACTCTTCATATCATTTATGGGGATTTATAACACATTTACAAGTATGTCTCATTTGACCCTGTCTCTACAAAAAAATGGTTAAAAATTAGCCAGGTATGGTGGCTTGCACCCACAGTTCCAGCTGCAAGAGAATCTCTTGAGCCCAGGAGTTTGCGCCTTCAGTAAGTTCTGCTGGCTCCATCTCACCATTGTACCACTCCAGCCTGGGCAACAGAGTGAGACTTTGATTGTTTAAAAAATTGTTTTTGCCCCAAACAGCTCTTTGTTTTAAGACATTTGAAATATTGAGCAGGTGTCGGACCACAGTAACTGACCACAGCATCTCTTACTGCTTGAGACTTTCCCTGAAATGTGCTGGTAAGAGCAGCCTAGAGGAAGGTGGTTATATCTGATGAGTAGAAGGAGGAGGGCATATATGTGATTCATCTAAAAGTTGCATCCCTTTATTTAGGTGCAAGTCTGAAAAAGAAGTCCCAGCCCTAGCCTGGTTTTATTCCACATGCATGGAGAGATTCTGTGATTTTTGCATTCTCCAGTAGAATTGGGACATTGGTGCCTTTATTTTCCTGACATTTATTACTAAAAGCTTTTCTCAAGACTGTTAAAAGTGATCCAAATGGTTATGTAGCTTTAAAAAGAATCTTTTTTACTCACCTCACTTGTGACATTGTTTCCTCTTCTTCCTCTACAGATATTGCTTCTTACCATCCAAGGGCAAGCACACTCTTCCTGAGAAAGTATCAAATGCATGGTGAGACAATATTGTTTCTGCCTTCAAGGAAAACCTAAAACTTTTCTGTCTTGTGTATTACAGAAAGTATTTAGAGAAACTCAGATATTAGTTAAAAACGTTCAACTTTTCATAGATTTACTTGTCTTATTTTCATATGTGATATAATTTCCTTTAGTTGTCAATGTTTATGGAAACATATAGATTTCGTGTTCACACATTTGGTGACATTTTTACCATTTTACCATGATTAATTGGCCACATGATTTAGTGTAGTAGTCACGGATTTATACCTTTTTCTTCATACGTCTTTGCCATTTTTCCCTTGCTTTAAAGAGTATGTTTTAATAATGACTGATAGGATTTTGGCCACAGCTTGGATTTCACTTGAGCAAATCAAAAGAATCCATTGTTCTAGATTGGATCTGTGATGTTGGCTCCTTGTTCACAGTGCTCTAACCACTGTCACATCCAAGTCGATGCTAGAACTTTTTCATTGGAATGTAATAGAAATGTAACATGCCCCGTGCTGTTTTCTGTATTAGCCTTAGTGTGTGAAACTAGTGTAAAGTTTTCATATCCTGCCTGTTTTAGGATGAGAATTAGAACTGTAGGATTTTTCTGTACTGTTGCTTATGTTACATAACATTCTGTTGTCTTACTTTATTTTTAAAAAAGCCATACACCATGTTTTTCAGTTAATTTGAACAAGAATACAAGAACTGGGGATTCTAGAATAACATCTGAAGTAATGCAGCACCATAAAAAAGGAGTTGTTCACCTGCATTTTCATATTTGTGTGGACTTTGTCTGACTTGAGCTAGTCATTTCTAGTTAGGATTGTTCTATTTCTCAGTTTCTTCCAAGAGCCATGGGCTTCTCACACCTAGAGTGCATGGAAGTAGAAGAAAACTGATCCCCTGCCCCTGTCACTTCAGTGGTGAGGAATGTGTGTCAATGAGACCAGTTCAACTTCAAAGGAGGAGGCATTATAGGGAAGAAAGTGTGGCCCAAGTCCCTCTTGGGAGCTTTTATTCTTTGGACCTTTGTTAGAACAAAATGATTGTGTGTGCTGAGGATACCCCGTGCAGTTAGATTGGCACCCTCATTTTGATATTTAAGTTTAAGATAGACTACCTTTCAGTTGAGTAAAGACCCATTTACTTTTTCAGTAATGTATGAATAGATGACTGAGAAGTGGTTTGGGATGCTTCCAGATATTCTAGTGCATCTTGAGATTGACTCCTGGCCAGAAACTGGTTCTGAGAGCTGTCAGTTATTAGATCCTGGTAATGAAAGTAAGCTACGTGTAAATGTAGAATCTGAAAACAAAACACTGCTGCATAGGGGTTCAGAAATACAATAGTAAACGTTTTTATTAGCTAATTTTCTCATCTGTCCCACATTTTGGCATTTTTATGAAGGAATACTTGAGACAGGATAATTTATAAAGAAAAGAGGCTTTATTGGCTCACAGTTCTACAGGCTATACAGGAGGTGTGGTGCTAACATGGGCTTCTGGCAAGGGCCTCAAGAAGCTAATGATCGTGGTGGAAGGTGAAGAAGTCATCTTTCACATGGTGAGAGAAGGAGCAAGAGAGAGTGGGAGTTGCTGCAGGCTTTTAAATAAGCAGATCAGGCCAGGTGCAGTGGCTCACACTTGCAATCCCAGTATTTTGGGGTGCTGAGATGGGCAGATCACTTGAGCCTGGAGTTTGAGACCACCTTGGGCCAACATAGTGAGACCCTGTCTCTATGAAAAATTTAAAAATTAGCCAGATGTGGTGGTGCATGCCTGCAGCCCCAGCTACTTTAGAGGGGAAGGTGGGAAGATCACTTGAGGCCAGGAGGTCAAGGTTGCAGTGAACCATAATCACACCACTGTACTCCAGCCTGAGCATCAGAGTGAGACCCTGTCTCAGAACAACAACAGTAACAACAAAACCCCAAGAAGATCATGCATGAACTCAGAGCAGGAACTCGCTCATCACCAAGGGGATGGCACTAAGCCATTCATTAGGGATCTGCCTCCGTGATCCAAAGACTTCCCCACCTCCAACACTGGGGATTACATTTCAACATGAGATTTGGAGGGCACACACTTTGCCTAATTTGTTTTGCCTTTCCTTATGTACATGGAGATGCTTTCATTTGAACATAATAGAATATGTGTTAGGTCAAAAAGTAAAACTCTGTTTTAAAATTTTACATTATGAGATTCGTCATGCCAGATTATTTAAATGTTAAATTTTGTTTAAATTAAAAATATTTTAAAAATTGATTTTTTAATATAGTGATAATCAGATTTATCTTGTTTTATATAGTGATGATCAGATGATTAGCAACTACTTTTATTCTGTGGTATTTTTCTATACCAGAATTGATTAGTTATATTTTTATTTTTAGTGCAAGGAAAGAGGAGAAGCTCTCGCCTATATTCTGTAAGTAAGCTTTTGAAAAGTTAAGAAATTAATTGTTTAAATTAAAAGTCTATCTGTCATAATTCCTTAGAAATGTAACAGGGACCCAGTGCTGTTAGTTTGATCCTCTTTTGGTGAATTTTCTAACTCTTTTCTATTTTCCTAAGTGTCTGATTTATGCAGGAAAGTCTTTAACTTACTGTGCCCATTTTTAAGGCTGTCTGACATTTAAGTTAAATTTAAATAATTTGGTTGTGATATAAAGATCTGCCTTAAATATTTAATCTTTTAAAATCAAATCAAATTGAAAATAGCCACGTCCATTTTCTTCAACACTTTCTGCTGACTCCCTGTCACAGCAGCTGAAAGCACAGCATCCTCACTCCACTGCACCCTTATTTCCCTCCCCGTTTCTTCCACCTGTAACACACTTTTAATTAAATCATGAATTGATATTTACATGATTATGACTATGCACATATTATTCACTGCTGATCATATAATGTTCTGAATGTGCCTCTTCCTTGCACATCCTTCATTCTTTCTCTTAAATATTTCGAAACCTGAACACTTCTGCACTTCTCCAAGATAACCTCCCCTTTCCTAGCCCATGATGGCTCATAAAACCAAATGTGACCATTAGCCTCCGCCGGTCTCTTTGTTTTCACATCCTTCATTTGTGTGTGTGTGTGTGTGTGTAATTGATTTTCTGACTATATTCCTTTGGCTCTCTAACAACTATTCTTCCCCAAGAGTTGTAACATTTGTCACATGCCTATCAAAAATATGTTTTATCTACTAAAAAAATACATTCCATGTTTTTTTCTTGAAGCAAGTTTCCTTGGCCTTTCATTATCATCCTCAGGATGAACTGTGATTTCCTGGGCTGCCCTGCACCTGTTGGCCTGGGAGCTCTCTCTGAAATCTGGGACGACTAATGTTGGGTCCCTGAGTCCTAGACTGTGCATTGCGCTCTGCTCTGTGTTACTCCCCAGTAATGCTGGAGTGCAGTTTCTGAGGAAAGGCTCATATACACACATGTTTAGAGATCTGGGCTTTCTTAAAATCCCTCATTTGATATAGAGTATAAAATTCTATAGTGAAAACTAAATGTCATGGCTTGAAGACATTTTTCTATTGCATTTTTATTATACTGTTTTTGAAAGTATTGCCATTGTGTGATATGTCATATGTAATCAATGTTTCCATCTGTCAAGTGTTTCGGACCTTCTCTATCCCTGAGATTCTGAAATTGTAACACAAAGCTTGGTAGGGACCTTTTATTTTATTGTGACCATTAAGTCTAAAATAAAATTTAGAGAATTTTTCTGTGTGCTTTGTTTTATTATTATTATTTTAGTCTAATGATTCAGATGTTGGACCTCTTAGACCAGTATTTCTGCATTGATCTGTAACTTCTTTACCTTCGATTTTCCAGTTTATCTTTTGTTCTGTTCTTAGAGATTCTTTGACTGTCCATGCTAACTGTTCTATCAAATTTTTAAAAATCTCCTTAAGGGTGATTTAAGATTTGTAAAAAAGTTTTGCTCCTGAATTTTTACTGCTCCCAGGAATTCCTTTTTCCTGTTGTTTTGATCTCCCATTGGAGGCTTTGCTCAAATGTGTGGTGGTCTTTGGCTTTCTCTCATTGAAAGTAGGACCTTTTTTTCACTGAGGGGTCTCACTGTAGGGATTTGGATGTCGAGGCAGCTTTTCCTTTGAGGGACATCAGTGTATATATGAGGGAATGAGGGTATTTTCTTTGCCATGGTTCAGTTTTCTTCCAAGAAGGGCCTCCCAATTTTCTGCCTGGGCAGTGCAAGCATGGCTGCTGGCTTTCCAGAAACAGGGTTGGGAAGCAAGGTGGAGTTTCACTTTGTGTGTGCCATTTACTCCCATTTCCCAGGTTTCAGTCCTGGTAGGTCGGAGCACAGAAACCTTCAGGTATAATATATCCAGAGAATACACATCCACATTTCTTATAAGATGGGAGGACAAGTGGACCTGGCATTCTAACCACAGGTTTACTATTGACCTTGTTGGCTCTGTTGTATGTTTCATCTTACCTTCCCTGGTACCATGTGCTCTGATTTTGCAGACTGTGTCGGGTCCTTCAAAATACACAGGATTGCTTGTTTCTGTTCAGGTCACTCCCTGTGGGCACCAGGGTTGTGCTTTCATGTCAGTTACCACTCCTCTATCTGCTTGTCACCTTGCAACATTGACTCAGAATCTGCTGTCAATCCTGTCTCCTGGTCCTGTGTATAGTGTTTATTTTATGACTAATTCTCATGAGATTTCAGAAGGAAGAGAAAATAAATTTGTGGTCAATCCATCATATTTTGTGGTCAATTCATCATATTTAACCCAAATTTAGAACCTATATGTAAGTGTAAATCTAAGTTTAAATTGAACATAATTATGACATTAATTCAGACAATTTTCTAGTTATACCTATAATAAGCATATTACACTTTTCCACTCAGGCCTTGTGTAATAATTCTATTCAAACTCCATACCTGCCATGTGGTCCCATTGCTATGCAACATAGATGAAGCTGATTTTGTTAGCACACAAAGTATTGGAAATTTTCAAGTTAGCTAAAAGTCATTAATTATTTTTAAAACATTTAAAACATGTCTTATAAAAAAGTGGGGAGAAAAAAGTGATCTTGAAGGCCGGGTGTGGTGGCTCATGCCTGTAATCCCAGCACTTGGGGAGGCTGAGGCAGGTGGATCTCTTGAGGCCAGGAGTTCGAGACCAGCCTGGCCAACATGGTGAAACCTCGTCTCTACTAAAAATACAAAAACTAGCCAGGCATGGTGGCACACTCCTGTAGTCCCAGCTACATGGGAGGCTGAGCCAGGAGACTTGCTTGAACTTGGAGGTGGAGGTCACAGTGAGTGATAGGAAATTTTAAATTTAAAAAAATGAAGACAGATATCACCTAAAGCTATACCAACTAGTCTGTATTTTGGTGCATTTTTCCTGTTATTTTTATTCTCATATATGGAATTTTCCTCAGAGTTGACTTTTGTTATGTTAAAGTATTATGCTGCATTATCCCTAATAGTAGTGACCTTAAGGGATACCTTCTTTCCCGTTGAATAAAAGTGTCTGAATGAGTCCATTTTTATTTTTTATGCCATATTTGTTTTTGAGACAATTAAAGTATATACGTTGACACACATACATTGTTAATGTAAATTAACAGAATAGCTTAAGAAACATTAAGAGTTTTTAGCTAGAGTTAAAACATTTCTATCTTAAAGGGTAATTTGGTCCTTCAAATAGTAATATTGTTCAAAAACATCTTGGATTTTGATTAAGAAATAAGTGAATTTGCAGTAAAAACCATCTGAAGCAGCAAAATGCTGTTGGACTCTATGGATATTTCTGATTATTGGCTACTGGCAATGTTTAAATGCAGTGTAGTTTTATAAACAACCACTAGATCTTCTCCCTACCCTGCCTTTTGTTTCATACTAGCTCATTAGTAGTAGATCCAAACCTGTTCTGTCTTTAATGTGTTTGTGAGGGACCCTGATGGAAGAGTGTGATAACATGATGCAAACAAGCATATTAAGAGGAGGAAGGAAGGCTCATCCGAGTTAGTTTTTTTTTTTTTTCCAATTAACATAATGGGTATTTTGTGGTTTTAAACAATGCTGTTGATCTTTTCAACTATTTGGTGACTGGCATTTGGCTACTGGGATTATTTTTAAGGACGAGCACTTTCTCTCTCTCTCTCTCTCTCTCTCTCTCTCTCTCTGTCTCTCTCTCTCTCTCTCTTTCTTTTTTTAAAATTTGAGATGGAGTCCTGCTCTGTCACCCAGGCTGGAGTGCAGTGGCACAGTCTCAGCTCACTGCAACCTCTGCCTCCGGGATTCAAGCAATTCTCTGCATTAGCCTCCTGAATAGCTGGGATTACAGCAACCCAACGCCACGACTAATTTTTGTATTTTTAGTAGAGATGGGGTTTCATCATCTTGTCCAGGCTGGTCTTGAACTCCTGACTGTATGATCCACTCACCTCAGCCTCCCAAAGTGCTGGGATTACAGGAATAAACCACCTCGCCTGGCAAGGAGGAACATTTACTTAACATAGTTGAGGCAGCTTCCCTATTGACTATTGCACTCTCAACAAATGAATAGATACTTTGAAAGTGTTTTAGAGATAGTTTCTTTTCTACAGGGCTCAAAGCATTCACTGTCATATCTCTGATAGCACTGTGGATGAATTTTCACTGATTTGTATCTGCAGGAAGATTTACTTTCCAAATTGTAACTGATTTAAATATTTGTCAAGCTCTTATTGAACTCCTTAATTTCTCCCACATTCTGTGCTCAGCAGCTGCAGGTAGAAGAGAAGGGGTCCTCCCTCACCTGGAGAGGCTCACTTTCTCATGAGGGGGATGCTCTGCAGGCAATTGTATCATGTAACACACGGTGAATTAGACTGATGAGTCACAAAACCAGAAATGTTCTGTGGTGTGGCTGCAGGCAAAGGGAGCCCAGAAGGTGGATGAGGTCAAGCTTGCTGGGACAAGGGGGAAAGGAATAAATATTCCAGACAGACAGCAGCATGAGTGAGGCAGGAATGTGCCATAATGTGCATCAAATAACTTAAAGAATGAAATCAATTAACTTTTGAAATGAATGCAGAGTATTCTCAGAAGTTCTCATTTGAGTAGTGTAATAGCAGTCTTATGGAAACATGAAGCGAAAGTTAAATTCCCGAAGTTGTTTTCATCATCTGATTTTTGGATGTGAGAGAGTCTTAAAGCAGTACTTTTTCCATCCTCCCACAAGGAAACAGGCCCAGGGAGACCTATGGCCCTTCACTTGTTTGGTGACTGAGCAGCTCTGGTGCACACAGCCTCTGACGCTAACACACTGGTTCCATCACACTCTCTCTTGAATGCACACACTTAGGATTAGTAACTTAGTAAATGTTGTATTAGGTCTTCATTTACTGCATTCAAATGCTCTTGTGTCAATATTGTTTAATGTATGACATTTTGTTTCAGTTAATGAATAACGGAAATAGAAAATCTCAGTGCTTTTTACTGCATAAGAAAAAAGCATGAAATCCCATTTTAAATGTTTCCCATTATTTATAAAGGGAATTTACAATAGAGGCTTGCCAGGTTTGATGATCGGTGTCATATCCAGGGCAGCATTTTGTAACCCATTTCTCAAACATCATCTGTGAAAGTTAAGAGCCTCCAATGAGTTTCCCATAGAGCTGCACATGATACCACACTCAGGCAGGTCACGGGGTATAAAAAATACCTTAATGCTTTATTGTTTGACATTTTGACAAAGGGAAAACCCACATTTTTGTAAGTTCAGCCTACTGTGATATTTTTCTCTATCTTCCTTCTTCTTCAGATACCTCCATGGCATCTTGGTAGAAAATACAGCTCGTGTTCCACCATATTGCTAGGTAACAGCACAGTCAGTGAGCCTGATCTCAGCCACATATTAGAAAGGTGAGTACAATGAGGCTGCCAAGGGCTGAGTGACAGACCCCCATATGCTAAAAGCATCCCGGCCATCTGCTGTTATTTCAGCTATTTGGTTGCCCCTTTCAGCAAGCAGTTGAAGAAGTTGATGTCAACGATATATGGATTTTTCAGGACCTAAGTATGAATTTTCTGTTTCTTTTTTAATCTTAGACACTGTGTGGTAAAAGGGAAAGCCAGTTCGCAAATAAGCAATCCCAGAAAAAGCATGGCTATTTATTGGATGCATTTATGTTATGACAGTATTGAACCTAATAGACAGGAGAGGTGCTTTTTATCAGATGGTTCTAGGAAAAATTATTAGTTCTTTATAGGCCATAGGCCTAAGATGATGGGCACTACTTTGGAAACTACTCTTGTAAGAAGGAACACCTTGTCCTCCAGCAGCACCATAGTGTATCTGCATTTAAATTTTTCCATCGTGCACAAGCACTTCATAGGCCACAATCAGAGATGCCCTTTCAAAACACCCTTGAAAGATGGGTTCAAGTTGGTTTAAAAGGCCAGCTCCAATGGAGATGCCCAGGAAACATTATTAACATCTCCTTCCATTGAGTGTTGATTTTCAGAAAACAGTTTGGCAAGTGGTACCTCAGAATGTTAATCTCCTTATCCCTAACTTGACTTTCTGGTCTATAAACATGACTAAATTACAAGCTTAATTTTGTCTCTAATGTGCTTGTTTTTAAGCTAATTTGTCAGTAACTTCTACTTTAATCAAAAATGACAGTTTATACTCATAATAATGTGACTTTCCTCTCTCATGTATAACAATAGTTGAGATCCAATTGTGTTTCAGCAAGAACTGGGCTCCACCTGCGTCTAAAGCCCTGCGCTTTGACCTCTGTGCTGTCATCACTCAATGTTTGTATTCAGTCCTAAGTAAAAAGCCACCCTTTTTCGGCTAGAGTCCCTGGCTGCTTCTGATTTCAAAAGATTCCAATGTTTCAGTATGCAATTCAAAAGTAGTTTTTAAGCTTACCCTTGCTCAAACAAGTAAAAGTCCTGCTTTTTCTACTAGCGTAGTCTAAATTTTACAAGGTTTTTAAAAAATTGAAATATATATATTTTGTTTTTTGGAGAAGGGGCTTTGCTGTTTTGGCCAGGCTGGATTCAAACTCCTGGGCTCAAGCAATACACCCAAGTCAGCCTCCCAAAATGCGGTGATTACCGGCATAAGCTACCATGCCTGGGCTACAAGTCTATTTTTGAAGCACAGTAAGTTTTAATGTACTCTCCAGTTTTAGAAGAGAGTATTTGGTATATTTGCTTTTGATGAAATAAAGGTTTACTGAGCAAGTTAATATAGCAAATTGGCTTTTGGAAAAGATTTTGAAAAATGTATTTCATAGATAGTAGAGCATTGTTCTCAATGGAAGAAGTGAGCCATGTTAGAATCAATTACACTGTTTCTTCAAAATATACGTCTGCAAACACATGCATTTTCCCAGCTCCACCTTCCCTCCGTCTCTGGGCACTCACAAACCTTTTAGGAAAATGGGGAAGTATGTGAGACATCATTATATGGGTAAAAGCATCCCAGATGATTCTGATCTTAGCCCTAATTCAGTCATTCCCAAACTTTGCTGCACATTGGAATCACCTGGGGAACTTTACCAACAACCCTGATGCCTAAAGCTTACCCAACGCCAATTAAATCAGAAAGTCTCCAGCTGACACTGAGGCCCTGTTTAAAGCTCCCCGGGTGATCCAGTGTGCAGCAAATGCGGAGGCGGAGGCTACTGCTCCCTTTGTGTGAAAAAGTGATGGTTCTAATATAAAAATTACATGTTTTCCCTGTCATTTGCTCTTTTTACTCATAAAGCCTTTCTTCTGTGTGAGTCATTTCTATCTATGTGTGCATATGCTTCAATTTATACCATACCAAAATGTTTTGTAAACACCTGCAGTGCACAGGAACACTGTTCGGGGACCTTGGGCAAATCAGTTTTAAGCCTTGGTTCTCTTAATTGTAAAATGGGTGGTGCATGGATTGTCACGTGAGGTTCCGTGGTCCTTTTCAGCATGTAACTTCCAATTCTGTGATCTTAAAATGTGGAGATGAAACTGTTGGAAGCACTATAGAAATATCTATCTTAGATGCTAAAAATGTTGTAAGGTCTACTTTTTACAACTCCAATTTGCCTTCTCAATTATTACAAGCCACATTTTAAATGTTGAGGGTGAATAGAAGGCCAGAACTTATCAAAGAGAAGCCCCAGTTTCCTGACACACAACATCTGTGGATGACTGGAACACAGTAACATCCATCCGAAGAGTTGTATTTGTTCATTCATACTTTGTTTAAACTAATGAGGAAGTACCTGCCATAAATGTATTATGTGGTGTTACACTCTGTGTTTAGTACTGCTTATTTTAGGAGCACTACAAGTGTCATCGATTTTTGGATGCATTATAATGTTTACTAATAAATTTTCTGCTAATCATGCATAGGTGATTTTAAATTACTTTATTTGGTATAAAGCACATTCATTCTCTGCTTTTAGGGAAACAATGACAAATGGGTGAGTAGGTGATGGTGAACTAAATCAGCCAAAATGCGGGGCCAGCAACTTAAAAAGCAAAACACTACTGTCTGGCCTAAATGTAAGCATATGTACACATAGATATAAGTAACTTGCCCAGAATGAAAGGTTCTATGGGCAGAAGAGCAAATGACAGGGAAAATATGTCATTATTTATACATAATAACCATCTGCACACACAAGTCTTCTAACAGCATATTGCCTAGCATTTTAGTTCTCCTATTTTTGCTGTAAGGCCAGAGGACTAAAACAAAAGGAAAGTGTTCATATGGTACTGTTGTGAAGAGAGGATTTCAGGGCCACTGAGAGGGTTCCCTCCTCCCCCTTTAGAAATATATCTTCAGGCCTAACAAATGATAACATCAGTTCTTACAATTTTTTTTCCCTCCACAGTGTGACTTTGGCAATATATTACAACATAAAGCACAGGTAAGCTCTTTGAAACCTATCTTGTTATTCCAGCTCATCACTTTGTGTCATACGAAACACGCTGTCAGGTCATAACTCTGTATATTATAAGCTGTAGAGTGCTTTTTTGCAGTGTTACAGTGAATCATTTGTGGGTTATTTGGTCCATAAGACTCTTTTAAATTATTAAGGGTTCCAAAGTGTATTTGTTTATGTCTTTGTTTGCAATTTACTTGTAAAGAAGCAGTTAAAAGATGCTCTAGCCTCACGCAAATATATAGTAGGAAAGAGACATATTTTTGAAGCTTTCAGGTAACTGTGGGTATTCTTTAACCCCACCCAAACTCCAGAAGTGCTAACTGATTAAAATAGTTATAGCGGGATTGTACATATCAATGAATTCGTTCACTAATAGTCACTGATCTTTCTTGTACAATAAATGGATCTTTCCCCTTACTGGCTTTTACAATGTTATGCATTGGCTACTTGGTCTATTCATAGTGTCAAAAACTCACTTTCATTAGTATCACCACCATTATAAAAATGTCTTCAGATATGGAGATGCTGTCAAGCTCACAGTAGTAGGTATGAGTTTTCAAAGTCCTGATTTTTACCTTGAAAGTTTTAGCTTTATTATAGACAAATATTTGTTATTTTCCCTGCAATGGCAGACTCTCTTGACTTAATTTTATAGATAATAGTCAGTTATACTTTCAGATAAAAATGGTGTTCTGTGAAAAATTGGCTTGCTCAGCTCACAATTAAATCACAACTGCTTTTCTTTAACATGACCATACTTCAGTATACAGAAGTGCTTTATGTGAACTTTCTACTTAGAATGCTAAAAAGAATACTAAAATACATTAATTTTTACTGTTTCATCAAGGACATTCTTCAGTGAAACAGGCTACTTTAATAAAAAAAAACTGCAAGGGGCAGTGAAGAGTGGAATGAATACTGGTATAATTTGGTACCACTGCCCTTATTCATACTGAGAAACCATCAGTTTTACCCACTTTTGCTTTTAAACAGTCATTACAAGTGTTGAACAGGAAGGAAGCAGTCAATGTCTTAATACTTTAAAAAAGTAATAAATTGTGTGTTTTATTTTCAATCAGCTTCTCAGGTTGAATTAGTATTCTTGTGAGAACAGTTTGGGCCATACATGGTGGTTGACACCTGTAATCCCAGCACTTTGGGAGGCCAAAATGGGAGAATTACTTTGAATCAGGTGTTTGAGACCAGCCTGGGCAATGTGGCAAGACCCCATCTATCAGAAAAAAAAGATCAGCTGGGCATGGTAGTGTGGACATTTTGTCCCAGCTACTTAGGAGGCTGAGGCAGGAGGATTGCTTGAGCCCATGGAGTCAAGCCTGCAGTCAGTCAGGTTGGTACCACTGTGCTCCATCCTGGGTGAAAGAGCAAAACCCTATAACAACAACAACAACAACAACAACAACAACAACAACAACAACAACCAGTTTTGACATCATGGGTCTCCTAGAGAATCTCAGGGGTCCACAAACCACGTTGGTAGCACCATTGGTTTCCTTAATGATCACATAATGTGTTAGTTTTTAAAGTTCATTAAAGACTGGCCTCTTTTAAAATAAAAAGGCAATTAAGTCTGTAACTCAAACTACTTCAGCAAACATAAAGTATAATAAAGATTTGGGAAATCTTAATTGATTTTAAAAAGTTCTATAATCTTTATTGCCAACAACTACTGCTTTCTAAAATGTTCTTGTGTTCCACCATGAGGTTAGAGCAGTAAAAATAGATACAGTTTATTCCCATTGCCTATTAGCGGGGGTCAGTATTTAAAGGCAAGGCTGGCTCATCAATGTAGAAAAGACTTCCCAGTTCAGAACGTGATGTGCTGATGAAAAAGAGGTCAAGAAACCCTCTGAAGGCCAGGATCCAGGAGAAAAATTGGCAACAACAGTTTTGGTGAACAAATTTTACCAAAGCAAACAAGAAATATCTCCCTCCACCCTCCATGCCCTACTCCCAGCAGATACTTTACTAAGATATTAACAGTTCCTGAATTAATTTCTTAAATTCACATTCTTCTTTTACAGATATGCAAATAGATCTCTGGCTATTTTCAATGAGTCAATACATCCACTTTCAGTAAGTGTCACTTTCTCTGAGGTTCTGTTTATGTCTTATAGAGTTGTGTTTATTTCTTGATGAAGTCAAAATCATCCACCATTAAGTCTTCACTAAGTTGTATCCAATCATCTTATGTAAGGAGTGTTGTAAATTGGACACACTGGAGTAAGAGCTGACTTATAGCTTTGTTTAATTTGTGCACTAAGGGGAATAAACACACCATCCAAATAACAAAATGTGTCATTTTAAAAGATAATTTTTTATAGCAGCAAACAATATAAATAGCTGTAAGTAGTCCTAACAAATATGCACAAATTCTGTGAATAGTATTAGAAAACAATTTAAATTTAAATTTGTTTAAATGCTATAAAAACTTAAAAACTTCCTTCTTCAGGTATGTGATAGCCACAGGGCCACCTTAGCACCTATGTTTACAGAAAACCAAAAATATTTTAAGATCCTACTGTTTATATTTTTAGAACTAGAAGACATTTTATCCCAGCAAAATTATTGTAAGGGACACGTGGGCACAAATTTGAACATTCCCAAGAGTACTTAAGAAGTTTTCTTGAATGAATATTTATATTGCCTTTTTTCTTCTTTCAGCAAGAAGAGATTCCAGGGAAATCCTTTGAGGACGATCCCACACACAAATGCATTTTCAGTTATTTCTGTAATATTTTTGCAGTCGCAGAACTAACAGCTCCATGTGCGATCGTAGCATTGGTAAGCTATTTCTTATCTATAAAGCAGCTTTAATAACTGGTCTCCTACACAGCGTATGGCCGTGTTTCTAAATAAAAGTCAGTTCCTAAAGTTATCATCAGATCTTTTAAGAGAAACCTATGTAAGCAAAGTAAATACACATATTAGAGTTTAATCATCGTCATGTTTTAAAATGATGCCATTGCTTTTCTTATCACAGAATAATTGCTACTAAAAGCAGTGGGAGAGACTTCTGGTTTCTCCCTCAACAGATTCCCATGTAGGTCTAAGCTGAGTTCCAGGCTGTATTTCCCCACAGTTCTGACCTGGAGCTGCTGCTCTGAATTATTTGTTGTTCCTGGTGACCTCTTGTGCCTGCTCAGGAAATTGCCCAGGAATGTGGAACCAGTAAGACTTGGACATGGGCTTTGCTAGTTAGCCTGCCAAGCCACAGCTGTGTCCTCACCTCTACATGGTTCTCACAGAATTCCTGTGGTGAGACTCATTCTGAATATAAAGTCCTGTTCAGATGGCTGGGATTGTTTGAGCCCTCCCCACACTAACCTGTAGAGGAATGTCAACCACACGGCCTGGAGAGAAAGGATACTTAGAGCAGTACCCTCTCCTTTAGCATCTGGCTAGAACTTAGGGGTGAAGGTTTCTGCTGAGCACCTGCATAGAAACCTCTCTGTGAGCACTGGATCAGATGCAGGCCATTTCATGGAGCTGCAGCCATTGGGAATGCTCAGCACATGCCGGAGGGAAGCAGGAGTGGTACTTCCAGATGGAGAGAGAGCGAGCTGATGCAGGAGGGAAAGCTGGATTGGAAGAAGGGGGAGTTCACTGTATACAGGCTAAATTTGGTGTGCCTGTGAGATAGCAGAATGATGTGTGCAGTCATTATTTGAATCTACGGAACTGGAGCATGAATCTGAGCAGTGTAGTCATCATTTGGATCTATGGGACTGGAGCATGAATCTGAGCTAGAGGTAAGGAATGAAGAGTAAGAGTAGCTGCTCAAGGCGAGGCATGATGGATCATGCCTGTAATCCCAGCTCTTTGGGAGACCAAGTCAGGTGGATCACCTGAGGTCAGGAGTTAGAGATCAGCCTGGCCAACATGGTGAAACCCTGTCTCTTCTAAAAAATACAAAAAATTACCTGGGCATGGTGGTGAACACCTGTAATCCCAGCTACTTGGGAGGCTGAGGCAGGAGAATCTTTGGAACCTGGGAGGCAGAGGTTGCAGTGAGCCACGATTGCACCACTGCCCTCCAGCCTGCACAACAACAGCAAAACTCTGAAAAAAAAAAAGAAAAAAAGAGTAGCTGCTCAAATGCAAAGAAGGTGTTTAGAATAAAAGTGGACAAGCCGGACATGGTGGGACACACCTATAGTCACAGCTACTCAGGAAAAGGAAAAAAAGAGAAGATGGACAAAAGATGGCTCTGTAAAGACTACCAGCATGTGAGGGACAAACCCCCAGTAAAGTGCCAGAGTGGAAGGAGGAAGAGCAGAAAAAAATAAGAACAAAGTGTTCACAATAGGAAAGGCTGTGGTCACAGTGCTACATGCTGCCAAGAAGGTGCTCATTCCATAAACACCCCTGGGATGCCAACCCTGTGCCACTCTTCTAAGTGCTGGGGCAGAGAAGAGGACAGGTCGAGCACAGTCCTTGTCTTTATGAGACATTTGCTTTAATGAGGAAAGCATTTCTTTTTTTAGGTAACGGCAAATAGCAAAATGATAAAGCAGGATACAGAGAGAGTGATGGGAGGGGCTCGCTGTTTCTGATAGAATGATCAGGAAGAGCCTCTCTAGAGAGGTCACATCTGAGCAGTGACCTGACTATAAAGTGAGGATGATAAGGCGAGCTGGCATACAGGCAGTGTGATGAGTGCCAAGACTGAGACAAGAACACATTTCATGTGTGTTCAAGGAACAGACAGCAGAGAGCCCACCTGTGAGAGAAATGAAGGAAAGAATGGAAAAGATGAGGTCGCACAGGCAGTGCCATAACTCACAGAGCCCTTTGGCTTGCAGACCAGGGGACGAAGTTAAGGTTTTATTCCAGTTTGAAGCGGGGACTAATGGTAGATCTTGAGCAGGAGAGTGAAGTGTCCTTAATTTAGAGGTTATCACAACTGTTTTGGGGAGAGTAGACCATAGTTGGGAGGAGGGTTGGGGCAGAGAAGAGGACTAAGAAGCAACTAGGCTGTTACAGGTGAGCCATGACACATGGTGGCCCAGAATCTGAAGCAGGCAGCCTACCAGTGAAGTTAGCCATAGAGGGATTGCACATGGATTGGAGGAGGGTAAACTCACAAGATTAGGGCCAGGTTGGGGAGTGGAGCCTTGGGGTGAAGGGCTCTGGTTTGTGGGTGTGAAGGCTCCAGGGACCTCGGCAAGAGAAGTCTCAGGTGAGTGATGGGGGTGGGGGGTGGATAAGGAGAGATGGGAGGTGAGGAGCTGAAACCAGGGCATGACACTGTGAGCAAATGAGAGGATGTCCTGGAGGAGCTGTGGGGAGCAGGATGGGAACAGGCAACACATTCCTATCTACCTGCCAGCCAAGTGTGATGCTGCACACAGATGGCACAGTAGTGTTTCCTGAACAATCTTAATCTGCACGAGGCCTGTGTTTGTGCTGCCTTTCATGAGTGTGAAGGTGCTGAAGGTGCCTTTCTTCATGCTCACATCCCTGTGAATGAAATTGGCATGGAAAGTTCTGTGGGCAGAGTATGCTGCAGAGGTATCTGACTATGACTGTGACTTGCCCTCTCGCTTTATCTGAGCAAAGTCTCTGCAGAACGTAAGAATAAAAGGCACTTGTTTTCTGGCCAAAACCAGAAGTCTTTCATTCTGAAATGTTCTTATCACCACACTGAAACAGAACTGAAATCAAAGACAAGTGCTCTATTTTGCAGGTGTACATTGAACGCCTTTTAACTAAAGCTAACATCGATCTTTGTCCTACTAATTGGAAAAAAATTGTCCTCGGAGCCATGCTTCTGGCCTCCAAGGTTTGGAGAGATCGTGGTCTGTGGAGTGTGGATGACAGCCAGAATCCCAAGGATGTTGCAGTTGAGAAAATGTGAGTTTCTAAGGTTTGGGCAAACTTTGTCATCATTTTCCATGCCTCATTTGCTCTCCAAGTTATCACTGCAAGAAATATCTTTATAGGTTTTATTGTGCAGATAAAGGAAATAGGCATAAGACCACAGACTTCAATCTATCCAGCCTTAGTATAACAGTTTATATTTTCCAGCATTAATGGGTAAGTCTTGATGTGTTATTGTTGTAACAACTGGCTGATAAACTAGAAAATGTTTTTCTGATTTTTTTTTTTTTGGCAAACCTCTTACAAGTGTGCTGTCAGAATGACACAGTATAGTAAATATCTTTATAGCTTTTTAGAAGCCACCTGCCAGTTTCAGTCCCCTTTTAAGGGGCAAACATCTAGCCTTCGAAATAATTGGCCACTGTTAAGGTCTTAAGGTCTCTGGACTATGCAGAAGTTACAGCTTTAACCTAAGCCGCCCATTGTGTATTTGCTTTTGCTGGTCCTTGTCTACCCCCTTTAATCTGAAGATCTGTTTTTATAGGAACCTTGAGGTATGATGTTCTGTGCCCTGTCTCCTCCCCATTGGGAACATTGCATGTGTTTGAAAATCGGTTAGAAGCTTCCACATTCACCTCCCACAGTGTGAGAAGCATTTCTGGGGCATCACCCCATGCCCACCACACTCACAGGCTCCCTGGGTACTCAGACATTCACAGAAGCAGGCTGGGGGCCAGTAGTTGTTTATGAGAGTTGGGGGGAGCCTTGCGGGGTCATGGGGTTCCTCCCGGATGCACCAACATGACACTGAAACACAGCTTCCCCAGGGTTCCCTTCTAATTTGGCTTTGTGACTGCTGTGAAGTGAAGGGACCTGAAGCAGGCAGGCAGGGTGAGCAAGGGGGCATTTCCAGCAGAGCCGCCCTGGGTGCCTGCTGGAAAGTGAGGACAGCTGTGTCAGCTGCATCTGGTGCAAGACAAGGGAGCAGCTCTTGTTTACATTGAGCAGCAGCAGAAAAGATGATGCCAGGCAGTGGGACAAGTTAGTTTTGTGATCTTTGCCCATGACTCCAGATAGGACTGTTATTCAGAATCACCTCAGTGTTTGTCTACAAATGAAGATGTAGTGTATATTGTAGATATGCTGCAATGTGTACATATCTACATTCAAAAATAACTACTTGGCGTCTGAGCTCAGTGACTCATGCCTGTAATCCCAGCCCTTCAGGAGGCCGAGGTGAGTGGATCGCTTGAGCACAGGAGTTCAGACCTGCTGGATAACACAGTGAACCCTGTCCATACAAAAATTTTTTAAAAAAATTAGCCAAGTGTGTTGGCAGGGGCCTGTAGTAGTCCCAGCTACTTGGGAGTCTGATGTGGGAGAATTGCCTGGGCCTGGTAAGATTAGGCTGTAGTGAGCTGTGATCACATGACTGCACTCCAGTCCTGGGTGATGGAGCCAGATTCTCTCTCAGAAACAAATAAAAAAAACATTTTTTGCCACCACTTTGCTAAGAGTATAAACCAAGTGATCATTGCAATATATGTGGTAGCCATTTTAGCAAAGAGTGTGACAGCAAATGAATTTGAAACAAATGGAAGTATTTTGAAAGTTGCAAATGCTAAAGTGACTTTAATCATAGTCATCCATTTGCAAACTGGTCCCTCAAAGGAAGCAAGATTTGTGACTGCCTGACTTCTCCTTGCCTGCTGCCTAGCCAGAGCTGATTTATCAATACAGGATAATTGCAATAGAAAAAGAGTTGAATTCATGCAGAGACAGCTGTACGGGAGACCAGAGTTTTACTATTACTCAAATTAGTCTCTCTGAAAACTCTGGGATGGTTTTTAAAAAGAATAATTTGGTGGGTATGGGGTCAGAAAGTGGGGAGTACTGATTGGTCAGGTCAGCGATGAAATCATAGGGAGTTGAAGCTGTCCTCCTGCATTGAGTTGGCTCCTGGGTGGGGGCCACAAAACCAGATGAGCCACGTTTATTTGTTGGGGTGGTGCCACCTGATCCCAGTACAAGGTCTGCAAAATATCTCAAGCACTGATTTTAGGTTTTACAATAGTGATGTCATTCCCAGGAGCAATATGGGGAGGTTCAGATTCTTGCAGCCTTCAGCCTCATGACTCCTAAGCCACAATTTCTAATCTTGTGGCTAATTTATTAGTTCTGGAAAGGTCATCTATCTAGTCCCCAGGTGGGAAAGGGGTTTGTTTTGGGAAAGGGTCATTACCATCTTTATTTTCAAGTCAAACTACAAACTAAGTTCCTTCCAAAGTTACTTCGGCCTCCGCATAGAAATGAACAAGGACAGCTTGGAGGTTAGAAGCGAGATGAAGTCAGATCAGCCCTCTTTCACTGTCATAATTTTCTTAGTTACAATTTTTGCAAAGGTGGTTTCAAATTTGTAATCATGAACACTTAGTTCTGCCATTTTGGCAGCTGAATTGTTCTCAAAACCTGCAGCTAAGCTGGCTGGGGCTCTGATTTCTAGTTACAAGATCAGAGAGCATGTGGGGATATGTGCAGCTTTCCACAGAAGTGAGCTTCAGGAGCAGTGGAGGCAGAGGCCAGCCCCACGAAGACTGACTCCAAAGAGAGCTGTGTGTGTGTGAACGGAGAAACACCAGGAGCTATGCTCTGAACAGGCTGCTTCTGTGTATGGTCTTGGGAAGCTGGAAGGCATTACATCCAAGCATTTAATAGACATGTGTCTCACCCCCCTGCTGTTGACTGTTTGCAGTGACCCCATTTTGAGTGTCAGTTTAACAGATAAAAACTACTGTCCATCAGATATTTCTTAAAACTTTCCAACATCTCTGTGTGTCCCTAGAATATATTTTCTTTCTAGAGAGTAAAACTGAGTAGCCACTATTCAGAAATGCTGTGTCATAAAGGGTATGCTATTCAATCATCTAGCCTTTTCAAAAACCAGAAATCCTAGAAGATGCATAGTCTGTACACAGAATTCTTCTCTTCAGTGATTAAACCTCTATTAATAGATATGTTAATTTCATAAAGTGCCATTAATTCCTGTAGTAAGTCAGGTCCTGATTAGCTGTCTATTCAAATATTGTTTGATTTACATTTCTATAGACTTATGGATATGTGAACAGGAAATTAATTTTGGAAGTAGGTTCAGTTGAGTTTTTTTGTTTTTTTTTTTAAATTTTTTATTGGATTTTAGGTTTTGGGGTACATGAGCAGAGCATGCAAGACAGTTGCATAGGAACACACATGGCAGTGTGCTTTTCTTTCCTTCTCCCCTTCACCCACATTTGGTATTTCTCCCCAGGCTATCCCTCCCCACCTCCCCCTCCCACTGGCCCTCCCCTTTTCCCCCCAATAGACCCCAGTGTTTAGTACTCCCCTTTCTGTGTCCATGTGTTCTCAGTTGAGTTTTAAGTTCAGCAAATGAGATCCTCACATCTTGGCTTGTAGTCTAACTGTCCTCCACTTTCAAGCCAGTGGGTAAAATGTTAAAATTTTCAAACCAAGAAACCAAATGTATTGTTCAGATATTGATCATTTTTAAGCAATTAACTTCTTACAGGGGTTATTCTGAAAGCAGCCAGAATGACTCTAACTGTGTACCTATTAATTTAGCCTTGGTGAGGGCAGCTGGATGACCATGAGGCAGAGGACGGCTCCCAGTCCTTTCCTCTCCCATTGCATCCAACAGCCCCACATTCTGTTCTGCCCAGTGGTGACAGATACTGAGTTCTTCAGGGTTGCATTCCCAACCCAAGAGCAACACTGCATGTGTTAAGGCCAGAGTCCTGCTATAAATCACATTATAAAATGAGTTTAGTCTAGCCAAAATGTCTCTCCTTGACTTTTCTGCCTTTCAAATTGTAAATGTTATTCTTCCCCAGTCTCTTCATAATATTAAGGTGAGCAGAAACTTGCATTATGCCTCCTTGACATAGCCTTGTGTGCTGGAGCAGAGGGAGGGGGATTCTTTTTGCCATGGAATGTATCTTGCTTATGTATTTATTTGGGATGAATCCTCCTTAGAGCTTTTCCTCCTCCGAGGTAATAGGGTGGGTCTCCATGGGTCCATTTGTTGCCATGGTGATGTGCCCCATCTTCCCGTTGGTGCTTCTCTACTTCAGTAAGTCCCTTCCTGTTATCATCCTGGTAAACACGCCTGGAGCTTCTTCAGAACTACTAAATGGTACCCATCATTCCTGTCATCTGATTGTGATTGCGGGGTTTGTGAGTGCGTGTGGAGTCTGAGTTGTGCAGCTGCCCTAAGGAAACTGTGAAGAATAAGCCCCAGGTCAGTAGCAGGAGTGCAGAAGAGGCCTCTACCTATCCCTCATCCAAAATTTGGGGTGCTGGGATGATGAAGAGACCCCAAGCAGCTGTGCCTTGTTTGGACATTAGTGTAAGGACCCTACCAGTCAGCCTTTATTTGTTTCAAAACAGAATTTGGAGCATCTTAGTAGCTCAGAATGATATTTTTAAAGATAACCCACTGGACTAAAATTGACCTGTGTTGGCTTTATTATGTTTCTCCTCCCCCAGGAGTAAGATGGAGAAGAGTTTTTTGGAGCTACTCGAGTTTAAAATTCATGTGTCTGCCAGTGTTTATGTGAAATATTACTTTGACCTGTGTGCCTTGCCATACGACCATGAACTGGATTTTCAGTTTGGTATTCTTCACAAACATATAGCGCAGAAATTGAAGGTAAGGCTGTGAAGTCACTTAGTGAAGTTTCCCATTGGCCACAAAAGCCAACATCTGTGACAAAATCATATTAAGTAGTGATTAGGAAAATGAAAGCCTTAAAATTAACAGACCAAAGTGCTTATTTCTTTGGCATCATATTTCTTGTCTTTTATGCTTTATACAAGAATCCTTATTATTATTATTATTTTATGAGAAGGAGTTTCACTCTTGTTGCCCAGGCTGGAGTGCAATGGTGCGATCTCAGCTCATTGCAACCTCCGCATCCTGGGCCCAAGCGATTCTTCTACCTTTGCCTCCCGAGTAGCTGGGATTATGTGCATGCACCACCATGCCCAGATATTTTGTATCCTTATTAGAGACAGGATTTCTCCATGTTGGTCAGGCTGGTCTCGAACTCCTGACCTCAGGTGATCTGCCCGCCTTGGCCTCCCAAAGTGCTGGGATTACAGGGATGAACCACTGCACCAGCCAAGGATCTATATTTTAAAAAATTATTGATATTCTCACTGCTTTGACCATAATTCAGAACATTTTTAATTAAATTTAATCTGTTCTTTTGGGTTTTGTTTTTAATCTCTACTTGTTCACATAGCATTCATGAATAAATGCAGTTGTATTCCTAATTATATCTAAATAGACAATGCACTTACTGCTCTTGACTGCCTTTTACTTAAGCAGTTTGCAATTTTGTGTCCTTGTCTATTCTATATATCTCAGTGCAGTCCCAGGAGTTTGTTAGACAAAGCAGTAGTGGCTGAGAGACTTGTGCTTACACTGTATAAGGTGCCAGTAGTTCAAGTACTAGGTGTAGGAAGGACATGGGTTTTTAGTGAAAATGGCTTCATGGGACAATGTAAGATTTATGGTTTATGACTGTTGGTGAGTATACAGGAAAGTTCCAACTGAAATAGACACGTTTAAAATTGGCACTGTCTCTGGTGTTTTGGTGGTACTTTGGAATAATACATTTATTTACCACAATGTGCAAGTAAAGTAGCTTCAATCATTAGGCTTCTTGGGTGTTCCAAAACAGCCCAGCATGTGCCTGTCTCGTTAAAATCTGCTTGGAGTGTGTAGTAACTACTAAGGATTGGGTAGAATTTGAACCGCTGAATAAGCTGATTGTTTGGCACAAGTGTATGTTGAGTATGTTGAAGGAACAAGTGCACAGGTAACAGATAATATTGTCACAAGCTTGTCACAATACTCTTAGGAGCCCTATTTTATTTTTTATGTGACAGTATCACCAAGCAATGAGCCCAATTTTAAAATTATAAAGTAAGTTCCTCTTGGCTCTGGCAGTCTTTTCATAGCTCTTAAAGGAGACGACCTTAGTGAATGGGCAGGGAGTTGCATCCTCAGAACCTGGCCGAGTGTAAACCTCAGCCAAAGCAGCCGCAGGGTAACCCTCTAAAGGAACCTGTATGTGTGGTTTCTCATCAATGATGCCTTTTAAAAAATGTTGGAGCCTTTTTAAAAATTGTACTCGTTTTCTCTTTGATTGACTTTCCTAGGCTATGTCACGGCTGTGTGAATACAAAGACCTGCATCAAGATGCCGCAGCTATGACAAGGGCCGTCAGCATGGATTTCATCGGCATTAGGCATACTAATGCCATCTTATCTTAAAGAGAGAAATTAGCATTATAAAGTCCTGGACTTGTCAACTATAGGGACTACAAAATATCACTTCTCTGCTGAAAAAGACCAGAAAAATTAGGATTTTCTTTTTTTATCTTTTTTAAAAAAATTTTTATTGTTGTTGTTGTTGCTGTTGTTGTTGTTGATTAGGATTTTTATAGAGTGGAGACTTCTTCAAATAACCACACTGTGAAGCTGGGTGATGGTGGCATGAACAGTGGGTGCCAGGTGCTACCTGCCCTTCTTGTTCCACTGAGTCCAGATGGCATTCCTAGGGCACCACCTTCTTGAACAACTCTTGGGGAGGAAGAGTGTCATATGGACACAGCACATCGCAGTTCAGAGTCCACAGTCACCCACAGTCCCAAGCAGGTGACAGTCTGAGCTGAGCTGGAATTCAAACAACTTTGGAATTGGCTCCAGATTTGTGAGAGTACCTGGGTTTGGATCTCTGTCCACTGAGGCACTGAATGCATGATGGCCCAAAACAACAAGTGTGGGAAGAGAGAATGGCATGGGGACAAGGCTGTCATTACTTCAAGTACCATGGGGGCTCAGGCCTGTTCATCAAGTCTTTGGAGAGAATCTGCATGTGAAATGAGGCACCCACATCATGGTTATAAAGGGAGAGATGAAATCGGTTCATCTTCCCCCAGGCCTATAATGGTCATGTCAAAACACAGAGTCTTGCTGTGTTGCCAGGCTGGAGTGCAGTGGCAGGATCTCGGCTCTCTGCAACCTCTGCCTCTGGGGTTCAAGTGACTCTCCTGCCTCAGCCTCCCAAGTAGCTGGGACTACAGGCATGAACCACCAACCCAGCTAATTTATATATTCTTAGTAGAGACAAGGTTTCATCACAGTGGCCAGGACAGTCTTGATCTCTTGACCTCATTCTGCCTGCCTCCGCCTCCATAAGTGCTGGGATTACAGGCGAGAGCCACCGTGCCTGGCCTCTTGCATTTACCATTCACAATAATGCAGTTTGGAATATCCCACTGTTGATTTATTATTTCCTCCTCCAAACATAATCTGTGGCCCTGTATACATAATTGAATATTTTTGTGTATTGATATTTTGTGTCTGAAGATGAAATATTAGATGAAACATGTTAAAACATTTCATGCAAAGCCTTCAGTGGTTGTAGAGTCTACTCTTTGGCGAATACACGAATTAATCTATTTTAAATATTAAAATTTTTATTAGATGTGATAATGATATTTTTTCTTTTATCTTCATTTGTTAGATATAGTTACTTACATTCTTCCATCATTAATGATATTGTATCTTATATTTGATGTAAAAAACTCCTAGAATATTTGGAATTGATCGTTGAAATTAAACTGCAAAATGAGATTTGCTAAAACCTAGTGATAATGTACTCATAATGGGTTTATTATCTATTATCTCTATCACTGTTAATTTTTAAAGTTTCCATGGAAAACTATACTAAGAACTTAAAATTTTCTATAAAACCCTTCATGCTCTGCACTTTAGCTCCAATGCATAATGAATAAAGGAAAATAAATTCTCCTGTGGGAATTCTGCTGGATTCTTCCTTTCTTTTCCCTTTAACCTGGGGGGGAGCATCTTGAGGTCACCATGGGGTGAGGTGACCATGAGTGGGGTCCCTAGAGCTGCCACTGACGGGAGTGTGTATGTGGAGATGGGTTTTGTGGCCACGTTTCTTCCTCGGGTCTTTCTGGTTGTGATGGGGGCTTTGAGGATGGTTTCTGAGGATCCCCTCCAGGGGAGTCCTCCGCCTGTGGTGTCTCCCTTGGGGGAAGGCCCAAGAATATCTGGAGAGGGATTCATAGGGTCGCCCCTGTGTGACAAAGGTGCCTTGTGCGTTTTAGGGGCGGTGGAGCCTCATCTCCCCTGTAGGGTGGGCAGGATGTCTGAGGGAGTGCTGAAAAGAAGCCCTGTGTGTTGGGGTCGCTGTGCAGTCTCAGTACAGCCCTAGACCTGGGGAAGTCATGATGGAGACTCAGAGGTGCTTGGGGCAGGGAAGGGGGCAGCCTAGGCAGTCACCAAGGTGTGACAGCATCGCTGATGCCAGGAGGCAGTTTTGGGAGGGGTCTTTGGAGGGGAATAATTGTGAAGTCCCCAAGGCTGGAGAAAGTGTGAGGGTGCTCCAAGGCTGGAGGTCAATGTGGGGTGGGTAGGAATAACCCAGGGGAGCTCTCACAGGAATAATGAGCCCCCCAGGGGTCAGGGGTGGAAGGAAGGGGCCTCAGCAGGTCCTGTCTTGCAGGGCCTTTCTGTAGGGCATCTGAGAGATGATCCCTGGGGCTCCTGAGGTCACCAGTACCCCAGGTGGGGTGTTTTCCAGGGTCAGACCTTTTTGGGTCCTGGAGCAAGGAAATGAAACTGGCTTCTTCCTCCCCTCTGCCTGGTTGGCGCTGGGAAAACTCCCTTTGGGGAGTCCTGGGGCTCCTGGGCGGGGAAGCGCCTTGAGCCCTGGGGAACAGACGGGCCACCCCTTGAAAGCCAGCAGCAGGAACAGGTGGAGCTATGCACCTCTGCATCCTTTTATTGTGGAATTGAAACTGGGTTTTCTTGGCGATGTGCAAGTCTGAGGGTGGGTCCGGCGTTTCCCCTGCTCCTTCTCTGCCAGACGCAGTGTTCATTGAAATCTGACCCCCTAAGCTGGCGCTGAGGGGACCGCGGCCTGGTGCAAGGTGACATCTAGGCTCCAGGGACTGTCAGGGGCCATCTGCACCCTGTGAGCACCAAGTCCACCCACCCCATAGCTCCTGTGCTGCAAGGAGGGCACCTGGCACCAAACGCAGACCCACAGCCTGAGATTTTGAGATTCTTTTTATTTCTGACACAGAGACTTGTTCCGGAACCAGCCACGCCAGGTAGGGATACAAACAGAAGTAATGAGGAGGGCTGGGAAAAAAGAAAAGAAAAGAAAAAGCAAATTATTGAATGTGGTAGTCATGAAATATGGGGTTTGTATTGGATTTCATTGTTACTTTGGGTTTAGAATGAGTGACTGAATGTAGTTTTAGGGCTGGGATAGGCAACTGTAAAGCTCCAGGCAACTGGGATCAGGAGGGTCTTGCTGACCTCCCTGTGCGATGGCTTTTTTGAGCTGTACTTGATAAGGGATATGCCCAACCCTGTGAGTACAGCATCACATTCCTAACACTCTGTGAGTCACAGCAGTCTTCTACAAATTAAAATCATTTCCTTTGCTTTTCTGACCTGGTTAAATGAATCAGATGGTTCCTGCCCATTAATACCCCTAGGTCAGTAACCAAACACGTGCCTGTTAGCTTGCTGCCTCCCTTTTCTTTATTATGCTTTGAACTGGACAAGAAATATATTTCATTTTTACAATGTGTGACTTGGGTTTCTGAAAGTTAAAAGTACCTTAGTGTATGTTGATATGTTTATTTTTAAAATGCTTTACTGGGGTCTACTTTGCATTCACTCTCCTTTGCCATGTCAGATCTAGACAACAATTTTATGTCTCTATACATGAGCCTATTATCAAAATGTCTAATACCCAGGATCATGAATTATGTGGTCTTTTGGGTCTGGTTCTTTCACTCAGCCTAATGATGTTGGGTTTCATTTCTGTGGTAGCGTGTATCATTACATCATTCCTCTTGGATGGCAAGTAGTGTTCTATTGCATGGACAAGACCACACGTTGTGAGCATTCATGTAAGAGTCTTTATGATTATAGGAATTTTATTTCTTTTGCATACTAACTTTGGGTTAGAGTTTCTGTGTCCTCTATTGATTTTATGTGCAACATTTTGAGGAATAGCCCCATTTTTGTTTTGTTTAGCTTTGTTTTGTTTTCAAGGTGGCTACAATATTTTACACTCCCATTTGCAGCATATGTGAGTTCCATATTCCTCACTTCTTTTCTAACATTTGTCATTGTACCTTTGCTATAGCCATTTAAGTGGGTGTTAGTTAATTAGTATTACTTGTTGTTTGACTTGTATTTTTTTTTACCAACGAATGAAACTGAGCCAATGGGCAAATTGTGTATCTTCTAAGGAAAATGCCTATTCAGTGATCACAGAACCTCTCTCCTCCCTCTAAATATCTGCCATTCAAAATCCCATGAAACACATGGGGGGGGCAGTGTTCAAGTTGGGGACACTGGGAAGTCCTCAGGCCACCCCTGCATGAGGGCTGCCCCAGGAGAGCAGGGTGAGCTTGTGAAGGCCCTGAAGCTCTGACAGCCCTGCCCACCTGAGACAGGGGCCCACTCAGAGGAGGTGGTCTTTCCAGCCGCCCCAATGCCTGGGTGTTCTCTAGAGACATTTGGGAGAAGGTTCTTTGCCAACAAGGATCCCTGCTAGCCAGCAGGCAGATGTGTGTGTGTGTGTGTGTGTGTGTGTACCAGAATTCTAGTGTTCATAGTGGAATTTGAAAATGAAAGTGTAAAGCTGAAAATTTAATCACACAGGATAACACACCTGCAAAATTAAACCACTGCATGATAACACTCTGCTCTGTGCTAGGTGGGTTGTTCCAGAATGCAGGGCCCTGGGAACCTGCCTCCCGACAGAGCCCTATACAGTGTGTGAGGCCTCATATGTGTGAACCAGGGCAGAAATTTGCTCAAGAGCACGGACCCGGACCCATCAGATGCCTCCAACAGGGCTGAGGGTAGCCCCTTGTCCTTCCTGAGCATTTTCACTGGGGCTGACCTGGGAGGTGCATGAGGCACTGGGGCTGGGAATTGTGCAGAAGTGCAGAGAGCATGGGAGCCAGGAACTGGTGAGGGGGGCGAGAAATAGGCCTTCCCACTGGAGGGGTCTGGGGAGGCACCCAGACCAGGACCACATTTGGGAAGAGAGACAACTGGCCCTGGATGTCCTTTTCTTGTGAAGACCAGCAGCTATGGGGCCTTCAGAAGGGCTTGAAGATGAACCCCCTCAGTTAGCACGCCACCTGAGCACATCCTTCCAGGGAGCCAGGAGCAGCTATGGTGTCCCCTGAAGTCCCAGATCTATGAGTGGAAGGTGGGACTCCCTGGAGGAGCAAGGAAGAGGCTCTTCAGAGGGGCGGAGGGCCACACTCTAGGAGGTGCGGTGCCTTCACGCTTGACCATTCCTGCATCCCTTGCAGTGCCTGAAAGTGCTCACCATAAGCAGCCAGAACCTACCTTCTGGGGACCACAAGAGGCATGGGGACCTCACATGCTTCTTTGTGATCATGGCTGAGGACTGGCAAGGCTGAATCATCAAACACACACCTGAATCAGTGGGTCCCTGCCAGCCTGCCATGACCCTCTGACATGCTATTGGTTCTGGGTCTGTGGGAAGACACTCAGCCACCCACTCAGTGACCACCGCTCTTTGTAGATGCATGACCTCTTATCACAACCCCAAATCTACCAGCAACTCTTCTGAAGCCCTTCCCTAGCAGAGCTGCTCAACTGGATCAGCTGGACCTTCAGAATCCACTTTGCAGGAATGCAGAAGAAAAGGTGGTGCGTGTGCCTCTTCTGCCCCGCCTGTTTCATGCACACAGGGGAAGGGGATGAACCAGCCAACCTTAACTCCAGCTGATGATCTGTCACCATCTCTCATCACCCCCAGATGGGACTGTCTAGTTGCAGGAAAACAAGCTCAGGGCTCCCTCCCGCTGATTCTACATATGGCGACTTGCATAATTATTTCATTATATATTACAGTGTAATAATAATAGAAATAAAATGCACAATAAATATAATGTGCTTGAATCATCCCGAAACCATCCCACTGCCTCTTACCCCCAACCTCTCCTCTGTGGAAAAATTGTCTTCCATGAAACCAGTCCTTTGTGCCAAAAAGAGTGGGGACTGCTGGCATAATGCATTTGAGATTCATTTATGTTATTTTTAGGTTTTTTTAGACAGTGTCTCACTCTGTCACCAGGCTGGAGTGCAGTGGTGCGATCTCAGCTCACTGCAATCTCTGCCTCCAGAATTTCAAGCAATTCTCCTGCCTCAGCCTCCTGAGTATCTGGGACTACAGGCACTCACCACCACACCTGGCTAATTTTTGTATTTTTAGTAGAGATGGAGTTTCACCATGTTGGCAAGGTGATCTCAAACTTCTGACCTCAATTGAACCACCTGCCTTGGCCTCCCAAAGTGCTGGGATTACAGGTGTGAGCCACCGTGCCTGGCTTCATTTATGTTATTGTTTGTATCCGTTCTTTTTAAAATTGCTGGGCAGTATATCATTGTATGGCTGTCCGACAGTTTGTTTATCCATTTCCCAGTTGAAGAACATTTGAGGTGGTTCCAGTTTTTTGGCAAAGATGATGGAAACTGCTGTAAATATTTGCATACAGGTTTTTGTGTGAACATACGTTTTTGTTTCACTTGGGTAAAATGAATACGTGGGATTGTTATGTCTGAAGGTGCATGTTTGACTTTATAAGAAATGGCCCTACTATTTTTCCAAGTGTCAGCATCATTTTGCATTCCCACCAGCAATGCAGAAGAATTCTGGTTGCTGTGCATTCTCACCAACTCTTGGTATTATTAGTTTTTCTTTCTTTTTTAGTCATTCCAATAGGGGTATAGCAGTATCGCATCGTTTGATTTGTATTTACTGAATGATTACTAATGCTGAGAATCTTTACATGTGATTTAT